GCAAATCATGTGGTTGTAAGTCCAAAGGCGGCTGATCCAATGGCATTTTTTTGCTGGGAAAACTGCAATAAAACATTATAAAACATGTGACACTGCAACCAGCTGTCAATTCCAGCCAGTTGCCAAGCACCTGAAATGCGATCTGTGTGTGGTGGTAGTTTGGCAGTCATACCTTCAATAGGTTGATTTTTTTCAAGTCTGTTGTAACTCTGAAGAGCAGTTAAGCAACTGGTCGTAAAACAAGGACTACCTAATACTCTTAATTGCCAACTTCCAAATATTTCTACATTTAATAGTGAGAATGCCATTAATTCATATTGCTTGCTCTGTTATAAAGAGGCCCATGTAAATTATGCTTCATTTCACAGCTCAAGGCTGTATCTTAGAGCAGAAGCTCATGCAAAAATAGCTGGTCCATCAGGTCCCAGAGAGAATCAATTATTTATTAGGACCAAACAATATTTTCAATGCCAGCTTCTGGATATAAGGGGCTTTTGAGAGCCAAAAGCTGAAAATAACACACTGAGATTGTTGTAAAACAGAATAAAGACTCCTTTTTGAAGGATTGGTACCTTAACCAAAAAGGAATCTCTTCAAACACTTTTAATCAAATTTAAGCAACTATGTGTATATAGAAGTTGAGAGTAACATCAAGAAAAAAAACCCCCAATGTAACTGGAGTATCACATCTCTCCTACCTTTAATAAAATATTAAGAAATCCAAAGCTTTATTTATTAACCACTGCTTTATTATGTTCAAACTTGGGGAAATCCTATTAATTTAAAAATGTGTGTGTTTTAATCTCATGGTTGTGCCACATATGGGAAAGGTACATATATGCATTAAACACTCTATTGTACTTCAGCACTTTTTGTTGAAAAAACTCTGTTCTTTAAGCGAAATAACCTAACTAGAACAGAGAAAGCCACATTAATTGATATCTCAGTAAAAGTAATTTTATTTACCACTGGCAATTAAAAAGAGTATAATTTTGAATAAAAAATCTTCAAATATACTGGGTCCTATGTGTGCTTTATCTTTATAGAAGATGGGAATGTTACAGAAATGAAGACAAATGAATCATCAAAGGCCACCGAGTACACGGACCACTGTACCCTGTTAATCTTTTACTAGCTCTAGCTATAAATATAGCATGTACTATGGTGTTTGTAGTTTGTGTAAATAAGAATGGTGTGTTTAAACAAATTAAAATCTGTGAATCTTCAGTGTTTTAAATATATGCAGGGAAAAAAATAAAGGGAAGAGAAGCACTCTAGAGGCATTTTCATTAACTTTCCACAACCTGTTTTCCAACTCCGTATTTAAAATGTTAAACTCTTCCTAGATACTCATTATTTTATTATGGTGCAGGAAGTCCTGCGAGAGTCCTCTTCCTTCAACCAATGTCAGTGCTGTTTATAAATCAGAAATAAAAAGCGAACAAGCAAGAGTAGGCAAATGACATTTTGAAGGGCTACCTTTGGGGGAAATGTATCCCACTCATTTTTTATGTATTTTGTCTTCTATGCCACGGATCACAAAGAGATCACTCACTCCACGGTTTTTCCATCCCGCCTGACCTTGATTCTCCCCTGGCAAAACAAGAAATGCAAGCCTCCCCATGTCCATCTTTGCCGATCACAAGACAAAATCTCAGAAACAAGCTTCTAAGGACAATTAAGGCTACAAAGACATTCTCGCGGCTACAATGTGTGCATTTAAAAATAAAAATAATAATAAAGCAGAGGAGAAAAATACCGACTGAGAACGATTCTCAGGCTCTCTTTTGAGCGGTGTGTGTGTGTTTATCAAAAAACCTTTCTTGACAAAATCCCCTTATTCTGAAAATTGTGTCCATTTTTTAGTCGTCTTGGCTCTCAGAGCCTGTTCTACGGTACCCGGAGGCTACTAGCAGCAAGAAACAAACCAACGCCTTTTGTGAAGCAATTCTCAGCCTCTTTTCCTTTCCCTCCCCCCCCTTCCCTCCCATAGAGGTTTTTCGGATAGGGACCGAGCGAGGGGTCCAGAACGGGAGTCCTCCACCCCCCAACCACGAGCCCGGTTTCTCCCTTCCGCGCCTCAACCCACCTTCTCGCACAGGGTCCGCACTTGGCTCTCGCTCAGCTGCTTGCACTCGTTGAGCTGCTCGATCCATTGGTCCAACTCCTTGGTGAAGCTCTTGTCCTCCATGCCGGCCCGCCGCCTGCCGCCAGCTCAGTTTCGAGGAGAGAGAGCGCTCGGCGGCGCGGCCAGGGTGGCGTGCTTCGGGGAGGCCCAAAAGCAGCAAGAGGGAGACGGAGGGGAAGGGAAGGCCGCCGCCGCGGCGCGGAAGGAAGGAAAAGGGGAGGGACCAACGGGCAGACGCCCAACCGCCCGTCTCAACAGGGCGCGCGAGAGCCTAGGCCTCCCTCTTTCTTTCTCCGGCACTGTGTAATGGCGGACGCCGACGGTCACGGCATTGCGCACTTCCGCTCTACGTCCACGTCAAAAGGGGGAGAGCGCCCCCTTCCAGCCGGAGGACTCAACCCTTGTAGGTAGAACATTCGCTGCCCTTGGTCGGGAAAAGGAAACGCCGGGGAAGTTTTCTATCCACTTTCTGAAGCATAAACAGCCCTGTGATATAGCAGTAGGAGCAAAGGGAAAGAAAAAGAAAGAGAAAGTACAGGCAGTCCTCGACTTACAACAGTTTGCTTAGTGACCGCTCAAAGTTTTAATGCCCTGAGGTTACTTATGACCGGTTTTCACACTTACGACCGTTACAGCATCACCATGGTCACGGGATCAAAATTTGGATGCTTGACCAACCGATTCACATTTATGACTAGCAGTGTCCTACGGTCACGTGATCACCTTTTACGGCCTCCTGACAGGCAAAGTCAATGGGGAAGCCAAATTCATTTAACAACCGTGTTACTCATTTAATGAACTGCAGTGATTCCTTTAACAAATGTGGCAAGAAAAGTTGTAAAATGGGGCAAAACTCACTTAACAAATTTCTCACTTAATAACATAATTTGGGGGCTCAGTTGTAGTTGTAAGTTGAGGGCAACCTATCTTTGCCTTGACCTTGGGCATCTGAATTAGTTTTCTTCAAGGTTTAGATAAATATATAGTTCTAGTGAATAGAAATAGAGTTCCCATCTCTCCTGAAGATTCATTATAGTATCTTTCTTTTTTAAAGCATCTCTTCCATATTGCAAACTATGTGTTAATTATTTAACTGGATGTGGCCTAATCAGTACTTGGAGAGAAGTTCATCTGCAAAGATTAGGCTGAGACAGGTTCAAAAACACATTGGCAGAGAGCAATAAATATTATTACCCACCCAAACCTACATTAATGTATTATTGATATCACCAGAAGTCAGGCTCAGCTTAGCTTTTCAGGAGCTGCTTTAAGCAATTGAACTGGCACTGTCCAAAGACGTTTCCACGATCTTGTGGCCAGCATGACATCATGCCACGGTGTGAAACATGGAACACTGTTATCTTCCCACCAAAGCAGTGGTACATGCTTTCAAACTGCTAGGTTGGCAGGAGAGAGGCAAATAACAGCTCACTCCATCACACAATGATAGGACTCAAACCACCAGAGTATAGATCTTTTCCAGCACCTTTTAAGCCACCATGCCTCCCTTCAAAAGAGGTCGAAGTAAAATTACATATAGCATGAATTACAAACATGGGCCATATCTATTGTACTACTGTACTGCAGAAAAAAAAATTGTGCTGTTAGTGAGAATAAATAACATCACTTAACGTTCATATTTTTGCTTTATTTTCAAAGGTTTAATAGTGGTCATTTTTTTGTCCCAAATCAAATCCTTTTTTCATGACAACCCCTCTCTCCAATGTTTGGAATAGTCTATTAAATACTTACTTAGTTCTTTGATGGTAAGACTGTTTTGGGCCCATTTGGGGCTGGCAGATGCTGCAGGAGGCCATGGAGGGTGAAAATGAGGTACAGGAGGCTGCACGTGGCCCATTTCAGCCACCAGAGGCACCACGGGACAGTCCCTTGCTATTTCCAGGCTGGCCCTGCGGGCTGGATTTAAGCACCCAGCAGGCTGCATCTGGCCCACAGGCCTTGAGTTTGACATCCCTGTGTCAACGAAACAGAGAGGAAATCACCCCTAAAGACGTCTACAACTAGTGGAGTAAATTCTGCCAGAACACCTTTACCTTTTATCTCTTCTGAAGTTCATCTATTTCTAAATCAGTTCCTTTTTGTTTTGTCTTTTCAAGTACAGTGGTAATTTCCATGCTGTCATCTGTATTACACAATTTTTTTTGAAAGCCTCTATAAGCATTTTAGTGCAAAACCAACTCTTGGACTCGGCCTTCATTTCTATTTTTATCTCATCCTATGGCTAATATTTTAGTTAAACAAATGAAAGAACATTTTCAGTTTGTCTCACAACAAATGAGACATTAAAGACACAGGGATAGATTAGATAATTATGTGCTACATTAGTAAATATGTTGCATTTCCAAGCCTGTATTGCTGAGACAGAATAAAAAGGATGGGTGTAGGTATTTTTCTATTTATCAGGCCACTCTCTCTGATCAGGATTTTTTTCTGGTTTTTGGAAAGTTAAATACAAGTACCGTAAGTATGTAGAACAAAATACTGGAGGAGCATTAAGAAATCATTAGTTTTTCCCCCCCTGCAGATGCTTTATTAACATTGTAAGATGAATTCAGAATAGTAAACTGGAGGTATCAAATGTGCTTCCTAGTTGAAGATTAGTAAATGAGATTTGTGTAGTTTTGAAAAAATTGCTGAGAAATGGTCCTTGTAACCATTCATATATTAGGGTTTTCATATTGTGGTATACATATTGTTCATATTGTTCTTTTTCATTATTTTATTGTTCTATTCTTTTATTTCTCTTTTCATTTTGTAAGAACTTGCCTCTTCTCTCCGCTCAAGAAAGTAGGACTCTTAAAACAATTGACATTTCAAAAGGAAACATTTATTGAAGAAAAGTGATAGCAAGACAAAGAAAGCAGGATCTGAGGATTTCTGCGCAATTCCGCTAGATTAAAATAGTTAGAGACCCCTCCCCTCAGCTTGGTGTCAAATAAGCCAGTCTGCAGGTACAAAGATGTTTTGATAACTGCAGGCTGAGAAGTTGATAAGAAGCTGTTCTCAGGCACTGCTTGCTGGAGGCTCTGGAGCTGAGACAAAACAGATGCCCCCCCCCCCCCTGTTTCCAGGAAGGTAAATTAAAGCACAGGATAGGCACCAGGAAGAAAGGTATAAACTGAGGAACGCCTCCAGGCCCCCTCCCCACCAGAATGGCAGCATCCAAATAAAGATCTATGGGACCTGACACATTTCTTCTTTTTTGTTGTTGTTAAGCCACCCAGAATAGCCCCATGGTGAGATAGGCAGCAAATAAATTTAATATATCGGGTCATACTATTTCTTCCATACAGTCATGGCTGTGTTAATATGCAAGAGGAAACCTAAGAAGCTCAAAAGCAATTCACCATCCCTGTGTCTTAACTGAAACTGTATTTTGTCAGACAAAAAAGATACTAACAATCATTGTCATTCAAAAAATATTACCTCCAGAAATATTGGTGATTTAATATTTATTGAAATGGCACAATCGCAGGATTGAATTTTTTTTACTGCCAGTTCTGCGGGCATGACTTGGTGGGCATGGCAGGGAAGGATCCTATAAAATCTCCAGTCAGAGGTGGTATTTGCCAAAATTTCCTCTACCAGTTCTCTAGAACTAGTCAGAAACTGCTGAATACCACCTCTGAAATGGCATTGTTTCACAAATCAATAGCAGGAGGATATGGAAAAACAGTATGTGACAAAGGCCAATTTTCTTCATACCAAGTTTGCTGCTGCTGATAACTATATGGATAGCCTGCTATGGAACTGAAGTACTGGTACAGTGGATAGGCCTGTGCAATATTAAAATTTTGTGATTCTCTAACACTAAAGTGACTAATAGTCTCTGTGTGAAACCTACTGGAATATGCAGTGTTCACTGTACATGCAGTTGCAGACACTGAGGTATTAAGTGGATATATTTCATGGGAATTTAATTCTTGGTAAGTATGAGTTACTAAGTGGGAATTACTAGTTTGATACCATGAATAGTAAGGATAGACAGTCCCATAAATGTGCATTGATGTTCCCTCAAAATATTCATTTTGACTAATAGCAGACCATTCATCAGAATTTTGGATATTGTCACTGAAAGGTTCAGATTGGGAATTTTGCTGTTCCATGAATTTATTTAATTCTGTCACCATTGAGGATTCTGAGTTATATACGGGTGGGCATTTGGAAATTTCAGATTTTTCACTATTTGCACTATTGTCTGGGGATAAACTGATGTCCATGCTGCATTCAGACTCTACATTTGAATAATTTTGAAAACCACCCAATTTTAAATTTTGCTGTGCATTTTTTGTGGCCAGTACAAAATCACCTTCACCTAATTTTTCCACTGAGCTAATAGCTTCTTCAGGAGATCTCTGAACTTTCACTGGAGATACATCTGCATTATTCAATTTCAGTTCTGAGGTATTTGGTGAAGCATGAATAAGTTCACAAGGATAAGCAGCTTTTAATTGTGAATATATGATTGGTGTTCTCTCTCTCAAATTCCTATTGTTTCTATATTGGGTTTCCAGTGGAGTTTTTAACTGTTGTCCACCTCCTGAGGGTTTACACTTTCCATTGTTTCTGCAAAACAAACATCAGATAAATTTCCTACAGTTTTTGAAGTAATTTTTACAATATCAAAAGGGTGGAATGTTATAATATCCTTCACTGTAAAATCAGCTTCTCAATTCTCCAAATGTCCCAGAAGTGCTATGAAGAAAAGAATTCAACACAACGCATTAAAACAATAGGATTTTCTGGAATTCATCAAAACTGCTGTCCTTATATTTATGAACCCAGGATGAGGTATTGATGTAGTGAAGATCAGGCCTATAAAAATAGCTTTTTAAATTTTGATTATAAATATCAAGGTCTAAGACTCATACATGTTAAGCATAATCAGCGCAGACATATTCTTTGCTGTAAGCATGTGTACATAGCGTACATGAAATTCCATTCTAAGAGGTCTTTCAATTATTACATTCATAACTCATATTCTGAAGACCCCTTCATATCATATGAAAATAGAAACATGATTTTTAAAGAAAAAAAAATAAAGTTAAAATAGTAAAAACAATCTAAAATATTGTCTAACAGTTAAGGACAATACTTTATCAACTTTAAAAATATTTCGACTAGCTGTTCTGTAATCCTTCTCAAAGACCATTGCTTTTTCATGTACACAAAGTAAATAATATGGGAGCAAAAATAATGTGAAGATTTTGTTTAAAGTGCAATATACCAGTTTTTCTTCTAGTTCAGATTGGAGAACACAAAATAGCTGTGGTGTATAGACAAGGCATCTTGAACAAAGGATTTTAAGAAATTAAACTTAATGAGTTACAAAATCTAAAGCATATTTTCTTTCATGATCTTAAACTGACTACTCACTTCGTTTTATGGTTTGCTGAATAAATTGCAATTGGCTGAAATTGTACAAGTCAAAGCAAAATAAGCTATATAATGTTTTAATGTTGTAGAAATTTAATTTTAAATACTAGTCCACTAGTATTTAACTATATCATAAACGGGGCCTGTTTTCACTGGCAGAGTGCTGCAGGAGGCTGTTGCGGCCAAAACTGGGGCCCAGGGGGCCACATACCTCCCCAAGCTCCATTTTTGCTTGCAGAACTAACTAAAAACAAAACAAAAGGAGAAATGTTTCCCCTTTTGCATTTGAACATGCAAGAAGGGACAGGAAAGGAGAAAGGGAAAGAGGAAAGAAAAAGAAAAAGAAGGAAAGGTGGGAAGAGAGCAAATAAGGAAAAATAAGAAAAGAGGGGAAGGAAGAAGGAAGAATGAAGAGGGAAGGAAAAAGAAGAGAAGGAAAGAAGGAAGATTATAATGAGAGTGGGGGAGGGTATGAGGGAAGTCTTGCCTTAGCACTTGGCCACCACAGGTGGCCCCGACACAAGTGACAACAAACTGGTCACGCCCACCCTAGCCCACCAAGATCAAACACAACACTGATGCGGCCCTCAATGAAATTGAGTTTAACACCCCTGCTCTAGAGTGTTAAGTCTTCAAGAAAAATCAAGAAAGTCCAGTTGCCGTTTTGAAAACACGTTTGGGACAACCATGACTAGGATGTCTGAGAATGTCCCTAGACATTAATGCCTTGACAGCAACCAAGCATTGCCTACACATTTTTAGGATTAGGTTCAATTTATTTTATAACTATTTTTCTAATACATCACTGCTTCCAGGTAATGATTTAATTTGCACATTACTTCTCCAGAAGCTCCTGAGAAAGGGAAATGAAGGATGCAGATTGCTGATACCATAATCCAAATTTGTAGCTACATTCCAGAGGCTTCATCTAGGTTTGATAAAGGAGACAAAATAGAACCATGGAGGATTTCAAAAAGCCCAACCATAAGCATGGTCAATCTAGACTTAGGGTGTTGTTTCTTATGGTAAAACACAAATTTTAATGGATATTGCTCAGGAATATCAGCACTATAGTTGATGTCAGTGAACACCACAAAGTTAAACAAATTACAGGTTGATTTTCTCCAGTGTAAGCCATGATCAAGAGTACTGAAGATAATTTTAACTCTAGAACTGGTTTTGAAACTAGATTGAAAGGGAATCATAAATACAGCAAAGTTTGCTGTTAGCCACATGCTTAAACATGTAACCCCAAAATAAAGGATATTTAAGGTTACATAATAATTGGGGGGAAAAAAACCTAAATTGGAGTTTTAAAATAAAGATCTACTTGCTTATGTTTTAAATGGTGCAATGTCTTAACATAGAAGGTTAGTAACCTCTCTTTATTTTCTCCTCCAGCCATCTGGCATCAATCAAACTGGCAATTTTTATTCCCATGCAAATGTGGGAGAGAGAAGGAAATAAAAAGGCTGCAGCAGGAAGAAAAACTTCAGTATTGTCCAAGCGCATTTTTGAACAGAAGTTTAAAAGTGAAATAGTAAAAGACAAATGCAGGGTTTTTTTTGTATTAAATCAATATTTATACTTATGTATACCTCACGTTTCTGTTGACTTCTTTTTCATCTATCTTGGTAGTTGTCTTCAATGAAGCAGCTACCTAAGAGGTTAAAAATAGTAATATAAACGGAATTAAATATGTTATGTGTTTTTGTTTTCTTTACCCATGCTCTGCATACGCTTATTTATGTTGCAAACAAAGTTTGTAGCTTTCATTTTTCCTGGTTGCAATAATGCATTTTAACAGCAATTAACAAGTTTTTTTTTAACATAAAAGCTGTAATAATTGGAGATATTGTGTGATTAAGGAAATTCTAAATTGCATCATGAGCAAAAGGAAGTGTTGATACAAAATTAATAGTAAAATAAAAAAAATATTCTAGGGCAAGGGTCTTCAAACTTGACAAATTTAAGACTTGTGGACTTCAACTCCCAGAATTCCTGAGTTAACATGACTGGAGGAGGAATTCTGGAAATTGAAATCCACAAGTCTTAAAGCTGTCAAGTTTGAAGACCCCTGTTCTAGGGTCTCAACTTTGGGAAACATATTCAGGGTTAGAAATGGATGTTAACAAATGTCTATATAGAATATTGGCAGGACAATTAAGAAAATTGTGCATATGCTGCATATGGATGCAAATAGAGCCAGTAAAAGATAGTGGAAATGAATTATGACAAGAAACCCCTGCAACTGAAAATAAAGCTACAATGCTTTTCACTTCACAGAGAATGCTGGGAGCCATTCTTAGTATGGTAATTATAGGTCTAATTACGTCAAAGTAAAGAAATCTAAATAACTTATTTCAAGGAATGTGTAGAATTGTTGAGAAAAAAAGGAACAATCAACCTTTTTCAATGTAGCTGAATTCCAAAATTGCCATTCTGAAAATTATGGGTATAGCTTGATGCCTCTGGAAGAAATATTCTCAAAGACAGATCTAAGAAAGGATTTCTTAGAATCTCAAGAAAGACAGTATTCTCAAGTTATGGCAAGGATTTAGGCAAGGTGTGTAGAAATAAGGTTTACTTGTACAGTGTATACTTTAAAATATTTAAAATTTCTGTTAAGCAGAAATAATGAATAACAAAAACAATCCTATTTTTCCATCCAGTCTATCTAGTATAAGCTTAAATATCTGAAACTTGTCCATCTGTTTTAGAGAATCATTTTTTTCACTTCACTGACTTCACTGCTCCAATTCAAAAAAAATAGGCATTATCACTGAAGTCAACAGTGATTTGGAATATTGTATGGATAATAGGACAATCTTTGCATGCCTACCGCAAAAATCAGATACTTATTAGCCATGATATGATACTCTGGGGATCTTAACTACAGTTTGCTTTGGCATGGTTAGAACTTTTATACAGAACTAATATTTTAAGTTTCATTGTCTAACTTCTTGTTTTACCTGGATATTTTATTTATTTATATCCTGCCATTATTTTCACAAATAATTTAAGGCAGTAAGCACACACCTTCGTCTTCCTATTTTCTCTTCCTATTTTCCCAATAACAATAACTCTATGAGGTAGCTTGGGCTGAGAATGACTGGCCCAAAGTTACCCAGCTGGCTTTCATGCCGAAAGCGAGACTTGAACTCATGGTCTCCCATTTTCTAGACTAGTGCCTTAACCACTATGCTGATTCTTGGTTCAGATTTGCTTATTTTATCTGTTTTTAGAGAATGCAAATTATTTTAATTACATCATGAGTTACATGGAAATCTCAGTATGGGACAGATGAGGCCAAAGGATTGAAAGGCAAGATATAACAACAGAAACTAATACCGTAATATTCCATCATTAGTTACATATTTTTATTTCCTTTGCAACAAAATCCACATTAACTGAAATGATAAAAAAAAAACCAGACTTGTATTTACTCTTTGTAACAATCTTCCTGGAACTTCTTATTAACAAAGCAGTTTACTGGCAAAATATACATGGATTAGAAAGTGTCTTGAATATACTTATAGTAACTCTTACATTTTTTTTTTTTTTAAATACAAAGAATAGCATTCCTGAAAAAGCAGCAGTTGCAGATAAGGGAACACTGAGTTTATGCAATCTAATTATAAGTGCTCAAGCATTCCAATAAAGCAGTTTACAAGGAACAAGGACAACAGGTTTTCCACAATTTTCTTTAATAGCTCGCTATCTTGAAAAGTCATGAGTATTGAAAGGATGGGGCTGATTCAATCTTTTTCCACGTCAGATGCAACTGCTAGAGTGATGTAGTTATGTCTCCATTTCTAATGATAAGCAGTTGCTCTGTCAATACCTGCGGGACTTTCTTTCCATTTCTTTCTCCGCCGTAAAACAAGATCTAGGGCCCTGGAGAAGAAAGTTGGAAGGAAGTGCTGTGATGTGCATCCCCAAACATTCTGGGAATTGTTAATTTCAATCTGTATATCATTAATCATACAATGGATTAACTCTAGTCTAAAAGTATGCTGGTAATTATTAAAGCAAACTTTTGAGACTTAAAACATTTTACTTTTGCAAAATGGCATGAAAAATCATCTGGCGTTTTAAGATCAAATCCATATATACAGGTAGTCCTCAACCTACAACCACAACTGAGCCCCAAATTTCTATTGTTTAAGGAGACAGTTGTTAAGTGACTTTTGTCCCATTTTACAACCTTTCTTGCCACAGCTGTTAAGTGAATCACTGCAGTTATTAAGTCAGTTGTTAAGAGAATTTGGCTTCCCATTGACTTGGCTTGTTGGAAGGTTGCACAAGGTGATCACCTGGTCCTAGAACAGTGCAACTGACAAATATGAATGAGTTGCCAATTTTTGATCATGTGACCATGGGAATGCTACAATGCCATAAGTCACTTTTTTTTAGTGCTGTTGTAACTTTAAATGATCACTAAATGAACTGTTATAAGTTGAGGACTAACTGTACTATTCCATTTATGAAACTTTGATATTGTAAAGCGCAGTTTTCCTTGTTTAGTCTTTTTATCTTAATGCAAATAATGTGCTGTGCTTGGTAATTTACTTTTAAGTTCAAGAATGGAATTATGTACACAGCAAGAATTGGCAAGGAAAGTAAATCAGAATCACTCAAATGTTTCTATGTGCGTATTTTTCATTATTTATTATATTTATAGGCCTCCTTACTCCCAAATAACAGATCAAACTAAAACTAAAGTGATACAATTACAATAAAAAATATATTTTTTGTCCTTCCAAAAAAGGGCATTTTTTCGCTTTGTATATAAAATAGTTTTGAATGTGTGTGTACACGCACACACACATACAGAAACTGGTGTTTGGTATGAAGGACAAAACAGAGTTTCCATTATTTCCTATGATCTTAATCCACCCATTTAGGATTTAAATAAGGGAAAATATTGTACAGCCAAATCAGGGTGGATTTGATTTAAATCAAGTCAATTTAAATCACAATTTAAAATCATGATTTAAATCACTAGTATAAAGGCTTGATTTAAATCAACTCCATTTAAATCATAATTTTAAGAGCAACTGTCATCTCTGTTCCACAACGGCTTCTCCTCTGACCTGCTGTTGACTCATCAACAGTCCCATTCACTTTAATGGGACGGCTGATGATGCGGCAGAAACACAACTAAGTGTGGGACGTGGTGGGCAGCAGGCGGAGTGGATGCCTATTAACAGGCGCTGCCATGATGGATCTGAAATGACTGGTGTTTTTTAAATGTAAGGACTCATTCTTGTTGGTATCTAGCATCTTTAATATTATTACTTGCAAACAAAATGATTTCCTATTTAGCTTGCAGATTCATTGAATGGGTTTACCAAAAATGTAAATATTGCAGAATATACAGCCTCATGCTATATAACTAAGTTCCATTTCATGCTGAATAAACTACATTATTAATGTATCTTAAATAGAAAACTATCTTTAGATAGATTTCTATTCCAAAAGCAAAAAAAGATAAATTTTAAAAAACCTTTTTATTTTTTAAAAAATCAGATTTTAATCCACCCTGATCTAAATTATATCCGAAAGTTGTCAAATACAATAATATGTAGGATAGCAAAGTACAATCTCATTGCTCTTGAAAATGTATCATTTATCATTTACATAATACATGATTTAAGTTCATGTATCATGTTCCGTAAGCCGCCCAGAGTTGCCCTATGTGGGAAATGGGTGGCATGTAAATTTAATAAATAAATAAATATACAAAGCACTATTTAAATGACCTTACCTTTTTCTTTTTGTTATGTGAGACATCATTTTTTCCTTCCGATGGGCAGGGCTCATCTTCTAAAGTTACATTAAATGATCTTTTGTGTAGGATTTGGGAAGCCTGAAGATTTTGGCCACCGTGATCCAACTGTGGTCCCACAAGCTGCCGTTTCAACCGACAAGTTTTTCTCCCGTTTTTAAGCATTTGATGTATAACAACAGGAAGAGGTGATTTCCCCTGTTCAGAACAGATAAACTTCATATGCGCAATGGTTTTCATCACCTTCATAATGTGAGCCATTTTTCCTACATCTTTCTTTTTGGACAACATCAATCTTTCGAGAAGTAAAGAAAACTGGTTATAGTTAAGGTCTAATTCAGAAACTGTACTTCCATAATTTAAACCCATAGCATGTGGCTCCAAGTCTACACACATGGAGACAGGCGACTTAGATGTTTCTAACATTTTCCTTGTTTCTGAAAGTTCTGCAAGTTCTCTTGTGAGAAGATGAAGCGCATATGAGCAATTTAAGGTTTCTGTATAGTCATAAATAAAGCTCATCTCCTCCTGAAGTTCAAATATGGAAGCCTCCACAGTTTCTAAAAGCTTATCTTTCCGATAAGACAGGAATGCCATTTTTTCTTGGCACTGGAAAAGTTCGGGTAGAAGTGATAAATCAAACCATAGTAAACTACGAAATCGTGGATTATCTCCTTGTTTTGCTATTGAGTTTTTCAGAAAAAAAATAGTTTCATACATCATTGTCAATTCAGTATATATTTCGATAGCTTCTGGCTTCAGAATGACAGGATTAATTCCTCCATCCTTCATGAAGTTCAATATATTTTCTTGGGTTATCAGTATGGTTACATCCTCTTCTTGTAAAATCTGAAAACACTTTTTCAGAATTTCCATGTGCACTGTACATTTGCCCATGAGCTCTTGCAGTCTTTCAATATCGGCAGACTGTGCTTCATCCAAGATTTCACTTATATTGCAAGTGTCTTGTAAAGTTACAGCCTTTTCAATGAAGCAATTTGCATTTTGTTGAGAGCAAACAGCTTTACTGTTACAAGAGTTTTCTTTACATTCTTCAGTATTTCCTCCAAAAGTTCTATTATCGTTTCCACATCCAGAATCTTCCATCATACGCTCATAAATATCAAAGAGCTTAACCACAGCAATTTCATATATTTGGAGGACTTCTTTCTCATCCTTTGAATTGTTATTTAAAGATATATTTCTTTCTGGCCATGCAAGTTTTTTAGCAGCGTCAAAAAATATATGTTCCAGACCAAATAATGAAGTTTTAAGATTAAACTCTTCATTGGTACAAGTCTTCACAAATTCTCTTTTTTTACCAATAATCTCAATAATAATCCAGAGATGATTATCTTTTTCAGCACTCAAATTCATGCCTGGAAGGCTTTTAGATATATTTATTAAATCCATTGTATTTTTTCTTGAATTTTCTAGGTCTTCAATAGAATCTCCAAAGTTAGCTCCACAAGTAAAAGGCACAGATAAAAAAAAATCAGATAAATTGGAATTCTGTTTCATTATTGATTCACATTCCTCTATTTCTCGCCTTAATTTCAACAAGCAATAATAAGAATTATTCTCAGAGATAGTGTTTTCAAAAGCTTCCATTAACTGCTTGTGGTAGATTTGTAACTCATTAAGGGCATTGTATTTTAATCTCATCTGAAAAGCAGGATATAAATTTGATTGCTGTTGATAACCTGAATGCCCACCAAACAATTCACTATGCAGTGAATCATCATACCAAAGCAAACTTCGAAAAGTTGGTTCACCTTTTAAAAATCTTTTCTTATTCTCGATAAACTCCATTGTTTCCATTATAATTTGCAGCTCAACTAATGCTTCTATAGCACAAGGTTTTAATTTCTGACTCACCTGCGTATTTCCATTAGAGCTTCCAAGTATTTCCCTAGAAATCAGAGCATGCTCAAAAGAACAACCTTGCTTTTTTTCAAAAGCTGTAATGAACCAAGGAAGAGCACTTTTACAATATGAAACCTGTTCGTGCAGTATATTCAGAGATGAAGTTTTATCTGCCTTTTGTAAGATCTCTGATATTTTAGAGCTGAAATCACAGGATTTTGGACCAATTCCTATTTTGGAAAGTTTGATGTGATTGCTGAAATCTCTGCAATAATTAGAAGAGGTGCTTGAAAAATAGTGTTCATTTTGCTTGGCCTCAGTGCTAGTGAAGGGTTTGTTTGTTTTATCAGGCATGGTATGATAAACTGCAGTTAGTGGAGAATTAAAATGAAGCTGGTCACAGTTATCAGTATTACCTGGGGAAGTCTGTGTGCATGTGGATTCCCTAAGTATGATATGATTTATTTGTTTCAAGTTTTTTTGCCTTAAATCTAGGTTATTTAATGACTTCAGAGGAGTGCCATAGATTATATCTAGTTTTTCAGTTGCAGAGTCAGTCATGGTTTCTGGTAGTTCTCTTTCCTTTATATTTTCCTCTTCAGGTTTCTGTAATACACAACGGTGAGATGATTGGCACAAATTATTATCTTCAAGAGATGTAGGAGATAGCAGATCACCACAAGATGGTATTCTGTTACTATTTCTTTGGGGTTCAACTGACTTGCTCAATGATTTACAATGCCTATTCTCTGCAGTATACATTTCCTGTTCAGTTGTTTTACTAAATGTATTAAGGCAGGAAGAAGAGTTAAATTGATTTCCATCTGTTTTGCTTCTACAGCTGTTCGTGCCAGAATACAAAGTGTGCTTGTTTTCCATGGCTGTAACTACCTTCTCTTGATTCTTTTTTTGCGTATTTCCCAAAAGTCCTTTCCCAGCAAATCTTTTTTTGTTGCCTATGATAGGCTTAGCGCTAAGTGGCTCTATGCTTTTAATTTCTGTAGTATCTAAGATAATTTTTTCAGGGACTGTTTTTATTGCTTTATTTTTCGTACAATCGCTGCTCAAAGATATATCTGTACTGCAATCTAATGTTTCCAAAGCATCTAACACTAAGACACCATTCGGTAAGATGCCTTTTGCTTTCGAGAATCCACTGTCTGGAGATTTTCTTCCAGCTTTTGTCACTGTTTTTAAACTCTGAACACTCTTCCGAGCTTTTCTTAGGTGAAACATTGCACCAATTATTTTTTGAGATGGGCATTGGGTTTTGTATAACAAGGCTTCAGTGTTGTCAAGGGCACTTAAAATATTCTTAATATGTTTTTCAGGCTGCTTGGTATTTTTTAATTGTCCCTTGGATAGTGAAGAAATCTGGGGTGAAGACTGTATGTTGAGTTCTTTCTTTTTGCGATACTGTTTGGAATTTTGCTGTTCCTTTTTGTATTTTTTCTTTTCCCCCCCTCTTGACCACTTAATACATTTTTGGGGTGCTGAAGATTTAGTTGTACATTTTTCCATTTTAGTTTCTAATTTTGACTGGACTATATTGGTTATTGTAATTTGTAAATCAGGGAATGGAAATGTATTCAATAACTGAGTTCCTCTTTCCTTCCCACATTTTTCCCTATATAAAGAATTATCTTTATTCTCCTTCAAAGTTGGATTTTTTGAAAGATTTACGTTCGAGCCAGATTTTCCAAACATATTATCCCAATCTAAACGTGCTTGTAAATAATAATAGACATCCTCTTCACTAATATTTCCATGATTATGTGGCTTGTGCCACCCTGGGAGACCTTTCTTACACTCTTGTACATTTTCAATCTCACCACACATGTCTAAGCTGTGGATGTTATCACTTTTCATCTCTAAATCTTGCCCAAACATTTCAGGAACTTGACTACAAAAGCTATCAGAACTGACATTTGAAGATGTATTTTCAGGCTGCTTGATTTCTGTATTTCCTATACTCCCCAAACATTTAGGAACTGATGTGAGTAACACTGTATGACTTATTTTCTTGTGATCTGTCAAGTCATTTTTAGTAGGCAATGTTTTCAATTCTTTAAACTTCCCTTTGCAATGTTCTATGTTTGTTAGCTCTGTTTCTATTAACGTGCTTCTTTGAAGATTCAAATTAAAAACTAAATCTGTGCTTTCTAAATCTAAAGTATCTGAATTTTTTAATGTTTCTGTATAATTGTTCATATTATCTCCCGGTTTCTTCAAAACCTTCTTATCAAGCTCTTGCTTTTTGCTTGATGAGCTTTCTGTTGCATTTTTAAATGCAGTTTCTGTTGCAGATTTATACTTTCTGCCTTCTAGTCCACATGGAACCTTCTCCTCTAATTGGTTTACATGTATTTCATTAAAGCATGTTTCCCCTGTGTTGCTTGTTTCACGGTTTTTTTGTCCTTCAGTAAATAAGGAAATACATATCCTATCCTCAAAATTATTTCTGTTTAACAATTCTGGCTTGGAAAGACATAGACTTTTTTCACTGAGACCTCTTATAATAGCATCAGTTAGACAGGTATCAGAAGGATGGTACCCAAGGCTGTCTACATTGATAATTCTTTTGGAAGATTTTTCTTTGATATTGTGTATTGTATAATCATTATCTAGGGATTTTTTTGCTTTTTCAGATGCTGAATATATTTGCTTATCTTTTTGATTGCTTTCAGCTATTTTGGAGTTTTTAGATTTTAGATTTAAAATTTTCAGAGTTTGAAGCTTATTTTGTTCAAAATTCTCCGATGTGATTTCATCTGAAGGCCATTCAGAAGCATACATTTTTTTACAGCAGGAAGACCGAAAATTATTACCACAATGCTCTGCTTTTGATGAAGTACAATTATTTGTAGCGCATTTGGTGTCAAATTGAATAGAACGCTCTATTTCAGAAGAAAAAATAGCACCCCCTTGAAACTGGCTACCCATTTCTCCTTGACTGTGCTTCTTGACTTTGCTAGATGTTATATTGTCAGGGCTTGGTTTGCATGTGCTTATACTTGTGTCATTATAAAAAGGTGGTTTCATAATAAGTTCTTCATTTTGCTTTACCACATTCTGTTCTCTTCTTGTTAATCTTGGATCTTTAATTAACCTTGAAGTAGTTACAGTACTTGAACCAACTTCCCAGTTAGAAAAATCTTCCAGATTTATTTTTAAACTAGTGTTCTTATCATCCCCCACATGTTCACCTCTGATACCTATGCTGGCTTCCGTACCAGATTTACATGGAATATTTGCTTTTGTTTGTGTTAAATCCCATCTTGTAGCTGGCTTGTGTTTCTTTTTTTCACAATGAATTTTGTCTTCAGAATCATTCCAGTTCTGTATGCTTTTAGAAAAAGAAGAAACTTCTCCAGATACACACATTTCTAATGGTTTTCTGAAATGTTCGTAGATGAGTTGGCTTTTACCTATCCTTGTCACCCGTGTACAATTTTCCAAAGGGATTACTCCGCCTGTTAATGAACGAGAGATATGATTTTTGAGGATTATAGTATTTTATCTAAGGGAGTAAAAACATATTTTAACCACATAGATAGTTATCTCTGACTCCTTGATTGGTGATGCGCTAATGCAGTCTTTGTAACCATTCACCAAGTTTTCACAATGGTTAAAATGCCCAGGAATATTCTAACTGCTAAAAGCCAATGTAACTTTAGGAAGCAAACGTATTTCTGATTCTTAAGTTTCAGTAAACAGTTATTCTAAGGGGGAAATTTTCCACAAACTCAGTTTGGCTTGCAAACAATTTTATACAAATCCAAGGATAGAACAAGTTGTATTATCAAAACATGAAGACTGACCAGTAGGGTTTTAAAAACTTAAAGAGGCATAGCAAATTTCTGTAGCAGCATTTACTGTAGAATTGCTATGTTGACATGCTTGAGTAATAATAATTTTGTATTTGCCTATTAATTATTTCTTGCTATTTTTCTGTTTTTCCAAAGGGCAGTGACATAAGGAGGCAAATCTATCAATATTTTCTGAACATAACTTTAAAAACTCTGGCCACTTCCAGCCAGGAGTTTATTACAGAATGACTCTCAAAATCTTATTAGAGTGGAAGCTTCTATCTGAAGCCTTTTTATGCTCTCTCAACATTTCTCACATCTTTTTCCTTCCGTCAAAAATCTATCCGGTTGAGAAAAACATAGCAGCACTGCACCTTTTCAAATGGCCATTGAAAATTTATTTTAGAAAGTATTTTTAAAAAGCCTGATCCTGTGCTGAGGGCTCAGAATGGTCTGATTAAGGATTTTTTTTTTAAAAAAAAGGAAGAGTAGTTCTGAAGGCAGCATTGAGAAGCCAGATGGGGGTTTGGGATCTCAATGCAATACCTTAGCTAAACCTGTCCCTTGAGGATCTATTTCCTTCCACTTAAATTGCCTCTACATTATACTCCCCTTTTCTTGCTGGCCAGGTTGTGCCATCCATCAACATAAATGCAACACCTGGTTGTCCAGTACCAAACTAGCACCAATCTTAGTTTCAAGTACAATTGCAAAAACTACATTTTTAATACTTTGACTGGATTTACACATCCGACTAACCCATAATTATCTGTGGGGGAAGAAGATATGGGAACAAAAGATATCATTTGCCTTGTCACATCACTTTGCACACGATGCAAATGACTTAATGTTGCCTCGATATATGTAAGTTACTCATCTCGTGTCAGACTGTGAGATGGGTGGCAAATAAATTTAATAATAAATTTAATGTTATTTTATCATGGCTTGTACTGAATGCCTATGCCTAAAACCGTAGTTTAAAAAACTATAACTGGCTGAGCTCATATGAAGAAAATAAACTAAAATTCAAACAAATCACAACTATGTGAATCCAACTGCTGCTTTTTAATATTAAGATGGGAGAAAAAGAGCGCAGGTTTTTCAGAAACCTATGAATGAACAATTTCAACAGCACTGTAGTGAGGAAGGAATATTTCAATCTGAAAAGAGAAATTTGGTAGCCAGAAATTACAACTCAGAAAGACTTAAATGAAATTTAAAGCAATCTTTGCACATTTCATTTGTGTAAACCTACACCTCTTTTTGCATTGTTATGCAGATATAAAACTATAAGAAATAAAAATATCTTATTAAATTGTATCCAGTTGTATTTTTGGTTGATTATCACTGAAGATGACTAACCTCTGGAAAAATCAGAAACAAATGAGCAGAAAGGAAAAAGGAAGAGAGGAATAGGAATGTGAGAGAAAACAGCAGTTTTTAAAGGCCATGTATGTCTATATTCAGAATTCAAATCACCTGAGTGCAGTAGGCCTTGCTTACATGTAAATATACAAAGAAACACAATTCAAAGAAATCAAGGAGGCAAAAATAACAGAATGATCCCCCCCTCCAAATTACAGAAAGAACTGTTACCTTGCTGGCAGGAAGAAAGATGAGACAAGGGTAGAGAAACAGGAAAGTAGTGAAAAAGCAGACTGGGCTGCAGCAAGTGAGAATAACTAGACAATGTGATGGACAGAAGATTTTGGAAACTTTGCTGGTGACCTTATTTATACATATTAGGTTAAACCATATGTTGATTTGTTTAGTTTTGGAGTTGTAGCTTAAGACTCAACTACTATTACCAAGTTTATTTTTAAGCCATGACTAAAAAAACCACAGCTGAGTGGATATGTGAATCCAATCTATAAATAATGAAGACACACATCAAAAGACAATCAAAAATGTGCTGTAAAAATCTATATGACCAGTAGATGGCAACAAAGTGTTCCAAATACATGTCTCTTTGCTTTAAATCTACTGCAGTGTTTTGTCAACCTTGGCAACTTTAAGATGTGTGGACTTCAATTTCCAGAATTCCCCAGCTAGCAAGAAGTCTACACAAAGTTATCAAGTTTTATTAAATACTGATCTAGTGTTTTTCCATTCCAGTTTTGGGAGTTCTAGCTATGAAGTTAAATGCAGAAGCTAAGAAGAAGACATGAAACAATGTCTATAACATGAAAAACTGAGCAGAATTCAAGAGGGAATATAATAAAATTAACATAAAAGTGCAAGAAAGCTTACCAGTGTGCTTGGGTAATCTTTTAAGTTTACACTTCAAAGATGATAGGAAGGAGTCAGCCCCTCCCTTCTGATTAACAGATTTTACATGTATTACAGCATATGGAAGACATTGCCTAGGCTTATCCACAGGTTTTGAATGTTCGTTATATTCATAAAAATATACCTGTGAATGGAGGTATTGTAAGAATATAAAAGTAAGTATCTGGATAACTTTAAACTTAGACAAAGACCAAAAATAATAACCACATTGTGATGAAATGTCAACAAAATGAATGGTAAAACTTTTAAATATGTTGCAGTACATCTCTCTTATAAAAAGTACCATACAAACTAGGTGCAAAATGTACTGTTTTTCTTAAAAGATTAAAGTACCAAAATGATCGTGTCATGGGCTGGATCATGATGGTGTTTTTTTTGTCTTTGCGAAGCCAGGGAAGGAACGGCCTGCATGAGCTGTATCCAGCCCGTGGGCTGCCAGTTTGACAGGCCTTATTTAATGACAATTTTTATCACGTTTGTAATTTTAATATAAAATTATTTGCTGAAGATTTTAGAAATTCAGGATAAAATGTCTGTGGAAAATATTTAATAATATCTCAAAAGTGAAGCAGAATTTAAAATCCCCTTCATCTATAAATCTGTGACAATATTCATCCTCTCTTACATGTACTGCCTCATACAATATACTTTATATATAGTTTCTTGCTTTTTTGCAGAAGCAGACATCTGAATTCAAAGAATGATTGTATCTACTTTATACAGCACATCAACATCCAACTAATTTCTACATGGTTTGGGACCAGGTTACCTGGTCTTTTTCCAAGAGTCTATACCCATCCAATCTGATCCAGCAGCTTAATATGGGTATGCTGCAGATCCTGTCAGCCAAAAAGTGTTGACTGGCAGGAGCAGGAGTCTTCTCTGCTGTAACCCCTGCTTTGTGGAATATTCTCCCTTTGGAGATTAAAATGGTCCAACCTTTGTGACCTTTTGTAAGGCTTTAAAAACTTGGCTATGTATCCGGATCTGTGGTTTGGAATGTGTTAGGGCCCTGCTTCTTGGTTTTACTTATGACTTAGTTTCTGAATATATTGTTTCTAAATTGTACACCCCTGCTTAAAATCCAGTTATTATAAACTTTAAAAATAAAATAACTTCAAAAAATAGAAATGCAGGACATCATGCTGTATCTTGTCAATAATAAAACCACTAAAGTATTACTTACCAAAGACCCAGTAGCCTGATCCTCCAAAGAATCCTTAAGTGAAGGATGAACTCTAGACATATGACAATCAAAATTTGGAGTTGGATCCAGTACAATTTTCTTTTGGCTTTTAGGTGGTTGAACCTTTTTAACTTTTCCTAAAAGAACCTAGAAATACAAAGCAAGCAAAACCTTTTCAGTGTTATATATATATATATACACACACTGCTCAAAAAAATAAAGGGAACACTTAAACAACACAATGTAACTCAAGTCAATCACACTTCTGTGAAGTCAAACTGTCCACTTAGGTAGCAACACTGATTGACAATCAATTTCACATGCTGTTGTGCAAATGGAATAGACAACAGGTGGAAAGCATAGGCAGTTAGCAAGACATCCCCAATAAAGGAGTGGTTCTGCAGGTGGTGACCACAGACTATTTCTCAGTTCCTATGCTTTCTGGCTGATGGTTTGGTCACTTTTGAATGCTGGTGGCACTGTCACTCTAGTGGTAGCATGAGACGGAGTCTACAACCCACACAAGTGGCTCAGGTAGTGCAGCTCATCCAGGATGGCACATCAATGCGAGCTGTGGCAAGGTTTGCTGTGTCTGTCAGCGTAGTGTCCAGAGCATGGAGGCGCTACCAGGAGACAGGCCAGTACATCAGGAGATGTGGAGGCCGCAGGAGGGCAACAACCCAGCATCAGGACCGCTACCTCCGCCTTTGTACAAGGAGGGACAGGAGGAGCACTGCCAGAGCCCTGCAAAATGACCTCCAGCGGGCCACAAATGTGCATGTGGCTGCTCAAACAGTCAGAAACAGACTCCATGAGGGTGGTATGAGGGCCCGAAGTCCACAGGTGGGAGTTGTGCTTACCGCCCAACACCGTGCAGGACGTTTGGCATTTGCCAGAGAACACCAAGATTGGGAAATTTGCCACTGGCTCCCTGTGCTCTTCACAGATAAAGCAGGTTCACACTGAGCACATGTGACAGACGTGACAGGGTCTGGAGACGCCATGGAGAACGTTCTGTTGCCTGCAACATCCTCCAGCATGACTGGTGTGGCAGTGGGTCACTAATGGTGTGGGGTGGCATTTCTTTAGGGGGCCGCACAGCCCTCCATGTGCTCGCCAGAGGTAGCCTGACTGCCATTAGGTACCAAGATGAGATCCTCAGACCCCTTGTGAGACCATATGCTGGTGCGGTTGGCCCTGGGTTCCTCCTAATGCAAGACAATGCTAGACCTCATGTGGCTGGAGCGTGTCAGCAGTTCCTGCAAGATGAAGGCATTGATGCTATGGACTGGCCCACCCGTTCCCCAGACCTGAATCCAACTGAGCACATCTGGGACATCATGTCTCACTCCATCCACCAATGCCACGTTGCACCACAGACTGTCCAGGAGTTGGGGGATGCTTTAGTCCAGGTGTGGGAGGAGACCCCTCAGGAGACCATCCTCCACCTCATCAGCATGCCCAAACGTTGTAGGGAGGTCATACAGGCACGTGCCCAGACATGCCCAGCATGCCCAGACGTTGTAGGGAGGTCATACAGGCACGTGGAGGCCACACACACTACTGAGCCTCATTCTGACTTCTTTTAAGGACATTACATCAAAGTTGGATCAGCCTGTAGTGTTTGTTTCTTAAATTTTAAGTGTGACTCCAAATCCAGACCTCCATGGGCTGCTAAATTTGATTTCCATTGATAATTTTTGTGTGATTTTGTTGTCAGCACATTCCACTGTGTAATGAACAATGTATTTAATAAGAATATTTCATTCATTCAGATCTAGGATGTCATATTTTTGTGTTCCCTTTATTTTTTTGAGCAGTGTATTTAGCCTAATAGCAACACAGTTCAACTGAGCTTTTTTGGTGCTATGAATCTTGAAAAATAAAGTGCTTTATTGTATACCAGAATGTTATAGTTTTAAATTATTCCTAGTAATGACATTTAGAACTAATAAACTACATACCTTCTTCCATTTATAAGACATTTCCATCACATTAAAAAGCAGTAGCACCCATGAAGATGGTGATTCTTGGGCTCAAAATATTACAACTTATACTAAGCTCATTATTAGGAAGACTCTATCTGGGTACTTTAGATAGAAAAATGTGTAGATCTCCTTAATTATACTGATTTTTTTTTACTCTGCTTGTGTTTTCCCACCTGTCTTTCCCATTTTGCTTTTTTCCTATATTCTGCCAAAAATTTCAAGGATTGGCCTGTCCTTGGGGCTGAGAAAGGAATAAGTACAACATCATGGTTCAAGTGGCACCGCTACTCTGCCATCATGATGGCAAATATCATGCAAAGCTTAAGTCTGAGGTTCAGCAAAATATTGTAATAGGTTTGCCACCATTATCAGTATTACAAATAAGCTACAGAATGTCTTTCCGGGGGAAGGGAAAAGAAGGGGAAAAGATGTTGGAGTAATTTTTATAACAGATTAAATTCTTAGATTGCTGGACAGAATCTTATAAATTAACATGTGTAAAGGAAGCTGCTGGCTTGCACTAATGGCTGCCCTAAATAAACTCTGAATTTTAGATACATTCTGCCTTTTTCCCTTGGATTCTTACACTAATCCTTTTGCCTAATGAGGTTTTTTTAACTGAAATATTCTCACCACATGAATAATATGGTGAATAATAATTACAGATTCTGGTAAACAATTTTAGAAATAATCCTTGGAACAATCATGGACTTTGTTTCAATCAGCGATGTCTGCACTAAACTACAGAGGCATTAAAATAACACACTCTCACATACAGACACAAACTGATATTACCACTATGTTATATAAAATTCAAATACATGTAAAAGAAAGCGTTTGCATGAGGTCATTGTGAATCCTTCATCATTTGTCTTCCTTTGCTCTCCCCACAATTTCCACTTTTTAAAAAATGTGTAATTATACTTTTTCAGTTTTCACATATATGCCCATTTTAAATTTATATTCAAAGTTTTAAATCTGTTTGGATTTCCACAGAAGAAAGGCTACTTCAGGATCCAGAGCAATTATTCCCCACATTACAGAGTAATTACTTTACAGTTTTAAAATATAGAGATATATAAAGACTTACCCTGAATATAATTATATTTTCTACTGGAAATGAATATTTGGATGCATAATTCAAAGCAATATCAACATATCGGAACAAGTAAACTCCAAGTTGAGGATTTCCTAGTTCTTTCATAATGTTTATTTCTCTTTTGGAATCACCGGTACATAGGCCATTCTGACAAATTTGTGTCACTTCATCTCTAGAGACAACTAAAAAGCTAGAGAGTTCTTTATCTTGCTTTCCTTCTTCACGCAACTCAGTCCTAACAATAAAAAATATGTTTTCAAGGCACGTCCCACTAATAAAATTTTGATTTTATTGTGATAGTTATTTGTGTTACAAACACAGAATCCCATAAATTTGTACAAAGAGTTTAGAGACTAGGACTGATTTTAACACTAGGTTAGAGATCCAAGTAGAAATTAGACTGCCTACCAAACATAATTTAATGTCTGGTTTTACTCTGAAACTGGTCAAACTCGTGTCCAAGTGTCCAAGATAATAGAGAAATTATCTGAAGTAATGAGAGTCTTGATGAATAGCAACTGATCGAAGTCTAGAGTATGGTTTGTGACTGGAAGAAGGATTAGTTAATTGGGATCTCTGCTGGACTTGATTACATGTTGTATGTGCATTTTTCCTCACAGAAAGGGTGTTGGTACTTACCTGACACGCCTGTTCTCTTTGAGCTGTGAAGAGCATCCAGTAGTGGGAGGTGCTTCAGTTTCTGCATGTCTAGGCTGGGCTTAATTTGTGGAACGCTCCTCCTCCTCCACGGGACTCCTCAGCGTTCCCCAGTTTTGGCAAAGACAAGAGAAATAAATGCCCTCGTTCTCTTTGCCCTAACAAGTTGTTGGCCGAAACAGGACCCCACCAGAGGGTAAAAAAGGGTGGGGCTGGATGCTCTTCACAGCTCAAAGAGAACAGGCGTGTCAGGTGAGTACTAATGCCCTTTCTCCTATGAGCTGTTCAGAGCATCCAGTAGTGGGACATACCAAAGCTTGGCCTGTCCTACGGGAGGGACTCCGTCTGGTCTGGAATCTCCCCCTGGTCCCTGTGGACCCGTTGCAGAACTCTTCTGCCAAAGGAAGCCTCAGCAGATGCAAATACATCAATTTTATAATATCTAACGAATGGCGATGGGGAAGCCCAAGTTGCGGCTCGACAAATTTCAGTTATTGGTGCCTGTATGGCCCATGCTGCCGCTAATTGCAGCGCTGCTTGTTGAATGAGCTGTTAAGGCCGTAGGCACCTGCAGGGATTGAGTCTGATACGTTTTCGCTATTGTGGCCCGTATCCAACAGCCTATTGTAGAAGGTGAGACCTTGCATTGCATCCCTCAGTGTAGGGCTGACAGGACAAGAATAAGGCCTCCGATTTTTCTAAGAGGCGCTGTGTGTTTGATATATAATTTCAATGCTCACCTCACATCAAGCCTATGCCATTGTAGCTCTATCCCTTGGGATGGTCTGGGGCAAAAGTTAGGGAGTATCAGGACCTGTGTTGCATGAAAACCAGAGTTAATTTTGGGTATAAGTGTAGGATCAGGCAAAGGACGACCCGGTCAGCGTGGTAAACACAAAGATCTTGTCTGATAGACAAGGCTTCTATCTCCGAAATATGACTAGCAGGAGCGACCACTACGAGGAAGAGTACTTTATACGTCAGAAATTGTAAACTTGACAACTTTCAATGGTTTGAAGGGGCTCTTAGTGAGTGCGACAAGGAACTAGTTAAGGTCCCAGGTGGAATAATGGTGTACCGCTGGAGGGCGTAAGGTCCGCATGCGTGGAAGATGGGAAAGGGAAAAAAAAGCCTTCACAAGTGAGAGCTTATGGCAAGGCCACCACCTATCTTTTCAAAGTATCAGGTGATAATCCCTAGTCAAGTCCCTTTTGCAAGAGCTCTCGAATTTGAGCCACAGAAAGAGAGGTGGGATCAGCCTGAGACTGGGTACCCCATTTGCAGAAACTGGACTATGTGGCATTGTAAATGCGAGTTGTTGAGGGGCGTCTAGTGGCTAGGACAGTGGCAATAACTCTGTTGGAAAACCTTTTCACTCTTAAGGCAACTCCACTGAACCTCCAGACAGTCAGTTGCAACTATTGAGGGTCCGGGTGTTGAAGGGGCCCCCTGAGATACGAAACCATGGCTGGTGGGATTCTCCATGGAGCTGATACGGGGAGACTGTGGAAGTCTGCAAACCACGGCTGTCTGGGCCAATAAGGAGCTACTGGAAGTAGTTCTGCCCTTGTGTCTAGCAATTCCTGGATGACCTTGGGAATCAGGGGAAGGGGCGTAAATGCATACAGGAATCCCGGGTCCAACGACAGCGGAGCGTGTTGAAGTTCTCCGCTCCTTGTTTGGGGCACCTGGAAAAAAAATCTCAGGAGCTGAGTGTTGAGGGCGGGGCGAACAGGTCCACCACCCGCTGGCCAAATGTCCTGACCACATTTTGAGAAGAGGGAGGGGTGGAGATGCCCCTCTGAGTGAACAATGGTGGCCCTGCTCACCCTGTCTGCCTGTGTATTTGACAGACCAGAAATGTGCTCTGCTCTGATGGAAAGTGACGATAAGTCTGTGTGGCTCCTTGAAAAGGCAGCCCCTGTTGATGGTTGGTCTGGTCCACCCGAACAGAGATATGAGGACCTTTGGTGGTACCCTGACAGTGTGTTTGGAGTTGCTTTGTCCAGAGCACTGGTACAGGAGCAGGAACCACTGGAGGGATGTAGCGGGGAGGTGGGCCCAAGGGGTGATAGAAATACATGAGATCATCTTGTCTAACAATTTTGATAGTTCAGCTAGGGACACCCTCTTAAGGCCCCTGACCTTAAGTAATTGCTGAATGCTATTTAGTCTATCTGGTGATAGGTAAACCTTGCCTTCCACTGTATCTATGACAGCCCCCAAATGGGTTATCCAAGTCGATGATGTTAGTTGACTCTTCTTCCAATTTCTTCCAATTTCTTAAGGAGCCATGCTTTTGTAGGGATTGTAATGTGTAGTGAGTGTCTTTGCTTGATGGACGGAAGGTGACAAAATCAAGATGTCATCGAGATAACACTAGATCTGTACAGGGATGTCTCTGAGATGAACAACTAGCGCTGCGATGACCTTAGTAAAGGTCCTAGTGGCAGAAGGTAGTCCAAAAGGAAGGGCCACATATTCAAAATGGTGGTTAGTATAACAGAATCTCAGAAATTTATAGTGGGAAGGCCTAATAGTAACATGCAGGTACATCTCCTTCAAGTCTATGGACGTGATGATGTCCCCCTTTCTGATACCAAGTAAGATAGGTTGCTGGGTATGCATTTAAAACCTGCGATGTACCAAGAAACGGTTGAGACGTTTCAGGTCTAATATCGCTCTCCATCCCCCAAACTTTTGGGCACCATGGAAAGATGTGAATAGAAACCTTGTCCTCGTTGAGTGGTAGCTACTGGTGGGATGGCTCATATATCCAATAAATGTTGGATAGCTGAATCCATGAGATTACGTTTAATCGGTTCTCTGGAGAGAGGGCATGATGTGAAAATTCTGGGGGAGTGAACTGAAACTCTGCGCAAGGCTAAATCTGATCGTATCTCTGACCCAAGAATCAGAGGTTGAAAAGTCCCATTGGTCGGCGAATAATTTAAGGCGTCCGCCAACGGGGGTTAGGTCCCGGGAGTTATTTTGGACACTGAAAGGACATGTTTCCTGCTCCACGAAAGGATCTTTTGAATTGACCACCCCTTCTGCTCCTATCCCTGAAGTCGAACCTATCTGGCTGCTGTCCTGGTCTGAATGATGGGGGTCTCTGGTATCTGTGTGAAAAGGATCCCTGGTAAAGGGGTCAAAAAGGATCCCCTCCGAAAGGACTGGGGGTTTCTAGGATCTGAAGGGAAGGAAGAATCCCCCCCCTTTTTAAAACGGGTTTTGATTAGTAGCGGATCGAGGGAAGGGCCAAACAGTCTGTCTCCCACAATTGGGGAGGAAACCAGCTTGCCTTTGTGCTTAAAGTCGGCTTGCCAATGTTTTAACCATAGCAAGCGACGCGCTGTGACATGTGAAGTAATGGCCCTGGCTGAAAACTTGACTGCATGATAAGTTGCATCAGCGGAGAATTCAGCAGCAGCAATATGTTTAGCAATATCTTGGTGCGCTCTAGGATTAGAATTAGGGACATGTTCCTGTAAGAGGCGGAGCCATCTGATAGACGAATGCGTGAAGAAGGAGGCAGCCGTGGCTGCTCTGATGGCCCACGTGTCAGACTGATGGGCTCTGCGTAGGGCTAGCTCGGCCCGTTTTTCCCCCTGGCTTTAATGCCTCCAGTGCATCACTGGGGATGGGGGAGGACGCTAATCCCACTATAGGTTGATCTACCCCGGGAGTATTCAATGATTTTTAGAAATCAGGGGCCCAGTTGAAATGTTTCCTGTCATATCCAGTGGGGGTTGTGTACATGGCTGCAGAGGCCCACTGCTTCCGTACCAGGTCCGAAAACATGGGAGGGACTGGGGGACACTTCTGGTTGTCGGCTTCGGTGACAGCAGGGATTCGCCTTCTCTGCGATCCCTGCTGTGCTAGCCGCCTTGGTGCCTCCGATCCTGACGGATTTGGAGGCTAAGGCTGCCCTGTTGGGGCAGCTGAAGATAGGGGGGATCCGGACGGGGGTGAGGAGCGTCGCAAACCCCCCCCAGCCGGCAATAACCCCCTTCTCTCAAGACGGTGCAGTGGTGGTCTTTTATGGCCACCATAAAGAAGCCGGCAATTGGATAATAAAGAATGCGCAGGAGGGAGAAGGAGTTTTCTTTTTTTTTAAAGAAAGTTTTTTCTTGGTCGAACTGGGACCTTAAGGATATATTTAACACCTGGGAAAGTAATGACTTGGAAGCTATAATGTTCCCGATTGATGTTTTCAGCTACGAAGAAAAGTGACGAAAAGGGGAAGTTACTTTCCCTCCCTTATGGAATTAACAAATGGACAAGGGAAACTAGCCTTTTGATAGAAGGTAAAACCTAAACTCCTTTGTTATAAGTGGGAAGGGAGAGGCTTGGGAAAACAAATTTTTACTCTAAGACTTTGCTGGAGGAGATGCCTTGAAGATAAAGAGAATAGAAATTAATTCTAAGAAAGACTTAAAGCACAGATTGGACGTTTTTTCTTTCCCTAATTTGACTTCACCCCTAGAAGAGGGCTGCAAATTGTAAAAAGAAGAAGCTTGTACTCTGCCTGGACTGTTTGATGACTGTGGGACTTTGGGACTTTTGGGAACTGTTTTAAGTTTGGAAATAACTGATTGGTTTAAGAAGAGGATACAGAAAGAGAAGAAGAAACAGTTTAAAATGGCTCTATCTCTTGATGAACTAAAAAAACAATATTTAAAAATAAAGAAAGAAGGCAAAGACGTTATGGGAGAAGCCCTTTGTTTCCTAGATATGGCGCTTGTCATGTGTCAGCAAATTAAACAACAGCTGCAATAAGCCGAGGAAGAAGAAGCCATTTTTAATGAACTAAACAGTGTGACTAAGAAAGAAAGGAGAAAGAGGAGCGAAAAGGAAGGACTTAAGAAATAAAAAAAAGTTTATGAAAGAGAAAAAGAAGATGCAAAAACAACAGAATGCTAGGAAGCAAAAGGAAAGAGGAATGCAACAGAAAGGGGAAATCAAGAAGGCAGAGGTTTGGAGAGAAGGGGGTAAAAAGTTTAGGCGGGCTAAGAAGGAAAGGGAAAAGGGGGAAAAAAGTTACAAAGATATAAGACAAGATGGAGATAAGGAAACTTTTTTCAGGGATAATGGGTAACATATGGGTTTTTTTTAAAAAAAGGGAGGGATTCTGCAAAGTACACATGAGTATTGTAATAGTGGTATTTGTATTATAAGTAGATAATTAGAACTTTTTAAGATCTAATAAAAGACTAAAATATCAAGGTATAACTTTAAAAGGTTTAATAATGAATGATAATAAGTTTTAATAAAATACTAAAGGGAATGTTTAAAATATTAGTTTGAATATAGAGCTTAATGGATTAATGTGTTGATTGTTATGGATTTATTATTGTAGTATTGGTTTTTGAAATAGTAGAATGTACTAAGCAGAATCTGATTGGGATTTAGGTGTTATTTTAAATTTTAACTTAGGGGAATGATAGAAAGGCATCATACTCCGATTAGTGATTCCAGGGGAAACTATTCTTTCTTAAATTGGAAATGAGACAGATGTAAATGGAGAAATGGACAAAAGATATAAAAATATTTTTTTAAAAAAAGCAAGATTAAATATATAAAACAGAATTAAGATGAGGCAAAAGTGGAGAGGAGTTATATAATAGATATAGAATGGTAAATAAGATGGGTAATGGTATATAAGAAGAGCGTGAATACAATTGAGTCCATACAAAAAGAGGTAATCTGGGGCCAAGTTACTTTCTAGAAGAAAGTTTTATGTTTTTATGTCTATGTTTTATGTGTGTGTGTTTAATTAAGAATTAAATAATAAAATCTCGGAAGAAGACTAGATGAGAATAATTATAAACAAGCCAGAGGAAAATATAAAGTTGATGACTGGATAGCAGATAAATCAGAAAGGAAATATGATTGAATAATGATTAAAGAGAAACAATGTGGAATTTGGTAAAGGGAATTTACGTGTTTATATGGAAATGGGATAAACTATAAGTACGTGATATAAAGCAATATGTTACCTGCCTTGTAAGGATCTACAATGGAAAGAGGTTTTATGTTTTTAATGTTTAATGATGTTTTGTTTTGTTTGTTTGTTGGTAAGAACAATAAAACTTGTTTTAAAAAAAACATGGGAGGGACTGGGATCACCTCTGCTTCAACTACTGGTTGGTTGAAGATCAGATCCTCTGGTCCCTCTTCCGCAGGAGCTGACGTGGTGGAAGGGGTCGACTTGTTTAGGCATGCAATATTTTTTGCCTTAAACAAGAGAGATCCGAAAGGCTGTGGGTGGAACAAACCTGTAAAAACAGTTGGTCAGGAATAAGACCCTCATCCGCAGACATTCCCCTTTCTAAGGGGTCTGCTTCTGACAGGGGCTCTCTATCATGTATTGATCCCAATTCAGTCTCCTCCATTTGATCAATGTGATCCACTTCTACTTCCTGCTCCTCCTCCTCTATCGGCCCTTGGAGGGGGGTCCCCCCTGTAAGTGTACCTGAGTATGGTTCTTCTCTGACCTGGTCAATGACCTCAGCGATTGGGAATCATGATCGGTGATCACAGGATATTCCCTGGTCATGACAGCGTGTTGAAGGCCCGCTGCGATTCCCTGGCGGAGTGAATGTGGTTTCAGGAGCTCTTTGCGTGGCCGGTGTCCCGGGCACTTGAGCCTGTTGGCCTTGGGGAGCCAAGCTGCGCCTGGATGAGAGGGAGAGATCTAGGAGAGGAGGAGGGTGTGAATAAACAGATGGACTGGAAGAGGAGAAGTCCTGTGGTACATTGTGCGCGCCTCTAGTGCGCCTGTCTATCTGCTTTTGTAAGGCTTTGTGAGCCTTATAGCGTCCCTTACTGAGGCTTTAGAAGTCTCTTTAGCCTGCTTAGGTCTGTGTTGAGATTTGGCTTTTGCCTTCAAGGATGAGGTCTGATAGATTCTACCATCTGCCATTTCGATTCAACTTGGAATTACAGTATGTTTGATATAAAATACTGAGAAGGCGGTTAGCACGCCCAGGGACCTGATCGGAGTCAAGACTGGTTGCCCTGATAATATTCTTATTGCACCCCCCCCCTTTTTATAGTACCTATGTAAAATGAGTCGTATCTCAGTAATAATACTTTATTGAGATTAAAATATTATACTGAAGAAAAGTTTTTCCTTTTTCTTTTTTTTAATTAATATTATTATTAATATGATTATGATTATTTTGTATTATTTTTCTTATAAGCAGTTTTATATATATATGGTAATAAGTATAGGAATGTAAATTGAGCAGCACAGTATAATGTAAAGCCAAAACAGCCAAATTGCGAACGCCTCAGGCCCGGGTTGATAATTGTAGGGGCCTTCAACAGCTTCCCTGCACAAGCGGACACAGGCCTGGGTGCTCACTGTTGTGCCGCTGAGGTAATTAGGCTGTGAGGGTTGAGCCAACGATTTAAAACGTAATAAATAGCCTCGAATGCACACAAGCTAAGATGAGGGTATAATAGTTCCCAGAATCTTGAAGGGAACCTGCTGCTCCGAGCAGAACTACATCACACAGCTCGAGAATAAAAAAGCAGGCACGCAGCCACGAGGTTTTGACAGCTCAAAATGGCCTCTGGCCATTAAGAGTTTTGGCGCGCTCCTCAAAGCGGCAACTTCCCGCCCAGTAAACGAATGGCCGCCGGAGATTGTTCTGTTAAGCTAATGGCGAGAAAAGTGGAAGTTATCACAAGTTCAAGTTCTCTACTTCAAGACAGCATTCAGAGAGGGGGAAGAGCGATACGACTCGATTTTGGAGCGAAAGGCTCACGCCGCTGACAGAATAAGCGAGATAAAACGCTGTGGCAATCAAACTGGCAGGGGTAAAGAATTTTGGCTGTATAGAGGCGGCACGGAGCAGGGCCTAAGCACGAATCGGCGCTTCCCCTAATCAGACCTGTCAGGCTGAGAGATCAATTTGGGATAGAAAGCTAGAGACAAACTGATTAACTATCAAACCTGCTGGCCACGAAAGAATTTTTCCTGTTTCGGTCAAGGAAGAATCACAAGCACTGCCTATCTCTCACGAGGATGAGCAAAAACTGGGGAATGCTGAAGAGGAGTCCTGTGGAGGAGGAGGAGCGTTCCACAAATTAAGCCCAGCCTACAAATGCAGAGACTGAAGCACCTCCCACTACTGGATGCTCTGAACAGCTCATAGGAGAAACATGTAACACTGACAAATACACCAGATTTAGACCAGAGGAGATACCAGTTCAAATCCTCATTCAAGCAGGCTGATACTATCTCAATTTGTTGTGAAGATGCATGAGGAAAAGCTCAATCATGGACAAAAAGTCCATTCAGTAAAATTGTTAATGATCTGTAAAATCTATAAAAATATTACAATAATTCACCTTTTTGCAATGAATTCTTCTTCCAAATCTTTATTATGAACCATCTCTATTTTATGAAACTTCCATAAAGATTCCAAATGGCACTGTATATCAAGGCAATTTTCATTCAGACGTTGTTTAATCTCATTATAGTCCCTCTGATTAGCAAGGCACTCTGTTAAAAAATCTAAACATAAAGAAAAGGAGACAAAAATATATAAAAAATAAGTATTCTCACCATGGTAGAGAGTACTGTAATTCTACAAAGATAATTTTAAATGTTTCAAAATCAATAAGAGCCATGGTGGCACAGCGGTTTGTATTGCAGGCTAACTTTGCCCTCTGCCAGGAGTTTGATACTGACTGGTTCAAGGTTAACTCAGCCTTCAATCCTTCTGAGGTTTTTTTTTTTAACAACAAACATAAAACAAACAAACAAAAAACAAAACCATCTTTCCATTGTACGGTGTGTCGGTTGGTACATATCTTTTGTGCACAATATCAGGCTAGCCAAATAAACTGGCGCTAACTGGTGCCACTGCATTCATTTTGATGTATATTCCCCATTGTGTGCCTGCTCACTATTTTATAATCCTTTCCTCTCCAATGAATGTAAACAGAAACATCAATTACATTCTTGCTAATTATCTCAGCACTGAGGTACCTGTTGCAAAGTGTGCTTGGAAGGAGTGGGGGAAAAGGGTTTGTAGGATTTGCCTTCTCATCAGCTTGTGAGTCATAAATCACTTAGGAAGCAAAGCCTTTAGTGTGGAAGTGATTAAAGTCTTATCAGTTATAGGCAGCAGCTGCCAATTGACTAAGTAAGGCAGGGGTGTCAAACTCAATTTCATTGAGGGCCACATCAGGGCTGTGGTTGGCCGGGGGGGTGACTGGGGGGGCATGGCCAACTTGACACCACTCCCCAAACTGCTGGCATGTTTCCTCTTCGCATTGGGTAGACCAGGCCGAAGCCATGCTGTCCTGATCTTTCCTCTTCGCATTGGGTAGACCAGGATGGTCCCACGGGGCGGATCCAACCATATCATGGGCCAGATCCAGACCCCGGGCCTTGAGTTTGACATTCCTGAAGTAAGGTCACAGAGTTGAGCTTGTTAACTTATGATTAGCAATTTTTAGAGAAACAATGGTATACAAGTAATCCTCAATTTACAACTACAATTGAGCCCAAAATTTCTATTGCTCAGCAAGACATTTGTTAAGTGAGTTTTCCCCATTTTACTACATTTCTTTCCACAGTTGTAAAGGGAATCATTGCAGCAGAGTTAAGTGAATCTAGCTTCCCATTGACTTAGCTTGTCAGAAGGTCGCGAAAATGGATATGACTCTGGGACACTGCAACTATCATAAAAATGAACCAGCATCCAAATTTTGATCATATGACCATAGGAATGTTGCAACAGTTGTGTGAAAAATGGTCATGTCACTTTTTTCAGTACCATTGTAACTTCAAATAGTCACTAAACTAATAGATGTAAGTCAAGGAACTACCTGTACTGCAGAAAAAAGCTACTCAAGAAAGAGTGATTCTTTATGTCATCTCTATGGGTGTGGGGGAGGAAAAAAAAACTAAATGATTGTCATGGTGAACATGTGACTTAGAAATACATGCCAATAAGGTTGTAAATTAAGGCATTGGTGACGAAGTTACTTTTTCATCACCATTGTAATTGCAAATGGTTACTGTCTGAGGCAGTCACTAAATGAGGACTAGTAGTGGCTGCACATGGCACAATTTCTGCTGTAAAAATTAATTTTCTTAACATTAGCCAACTCAGATCATGATACATCATGCCATAATATAGTTTATTAATGGAACTGTTGTTGCTATGTTTACCGTACCTTTATCAGGAGGTTTTTTAGGAATTGTAAATTTTTTCAGACAATTTTGATCCACCAAAAATAAACCCTTTATATTTTTCCTTATTACTTCCATCTTTGGTTCCATTTCTATTTTGTTTTCAATCTAAATTAAGGACAAAAAGCAGATATTGTATCAAATTACATGCTTAATTGATTTCTTTTTAAATATTATGTTTAGTTGCTTTGCTTTTGAATTGTGTTCCATCTTTCTTTTTTCCAGTTTTAATCCAAACTAATTCCCATAACTTCAGAAACAAAAATAAGAAAACAAAAACACTTAGCTTTGCTTTTTTGAAATACCAAAACCAGGTAGCTATAATTACAGTGGACATCACTTAAATCTTTTTCAAATTCAAAATCAAATTAAATGCTTCAGTATAATTGTAGTTTAAGTTAAGAATAAGATTTCAGCAATACATTTTATTTATTTAATAACTACTGAGCTAAAGGATTTGTGAAGGCACCTATATTAACCAGACACTAGAGGGAGATAAAGTACATGCTTATCAATCAGAACATAATACTTTGCATTCTTTCTATCCTGTTTTTTCTCCAGTATCACAGCTTTTTAGGCTATACATTTGCAGAGAAAACTTATTTATTATTATACTATAAAACTTTTTTTTAAGGCTTTAAGGATGAAGTGTAAGGAATAATTTGTCAACTTTGAAGCAAACCTGGCTGAACCCATCTAGTGCTGCCTTCAAGTTGCCATGAAGCCTGAGAAGGAAGGGGAGGGGGGGAAGTAGATAGCCCAGCTTATAGTCAAAATAAAGTTTTGCTGTGGGAACCAAGGTCATTGTAACAGGTGACTGGAGGAGGAGGAGGAGAGAAGCCTGCCAGCTGCATTCATTGGACCATGTGATGTGGCATCCATTTGCAACTCTTTTAAAATTGTCTCTTCTATCTTCAGAATCTCTGGAAAAGATGAAACTTCAGGGCTACCGTGCCAGTTGCAGATAGTTGTTCTGAAGCCTTTATTTTTTAATTAAAGCACTGCACAACTTTATTAATAAGTGCAATAAAAATTATGATGGATACTTTTATTGCATTGGAGCAGGGAAATGGATGGTTGAAATGAAACTGAAAGAAAAATAGTAGGGGGAAAATAAAATTGGGAGGAATGTGAAAGGGTTAGTGGAACAAGAAAGGAGAAAATTGCTCTTCATGTGTAAAGGAAAACTGTGGTGTGATGGGAAAGAGGACAAACCAAAGATGTGCTGCACTTTGAGCTTGCCAGAATAGCTATGCAATCCAGGAATATATTTGGGTTAAAAAGGTGACAGCAGAGTGTTCTAGAACAGGGGTCCCCAACCCCAGTACTGGTCCATGGCCTGCTAGGAACTGAGCCACATAAGCACTGGGCAAGTGAGCAAAGCTTCATCTGGTACGCGCAGGATCTAGGTTGTGTGCACAACCATTCCCCTTCCCTAGGTCCATGGAAAAATTGTCTTCCACAAAACAGGTCCCTGGTGCCAGAAAGGTTGGGAACTGCTCTGGAACAAACATGCTACTTGAAAGCTACTTCGAAGCTTGTAATCCAAATGGCAACACATTCTTAAAACAAAATTATGGCCATCATTTCTGTTTCACTGAGTTAGAACTCCAGAAAAATGACATCCAGGATCAGAGGAGATTCTCCAACCATACACTTGGTATGGTTTTTCTAGAGTCCTTATCTGCAGTAAGAGAAAAGCGGCCCCTCCCCATAGACACCATCCTTTCAAAACTATTTACCTCTAGTCTGTGAATATAATCCACCCACTCTTCAGGTAATTACTTGAGGATAAAAGCTACTCTTCTTAAATAGGATACTAGTTCTTTGAGATTGTGAAGAAAGGATACTGCTATATTAGCAGGCGTAAAGAAATAACCAAGCATTTTCTTATCATTATGGCAGGACTGAAAATGTAAGGAATGCAGAGCAAAAAAAAAGAAAATAACCAACAAACCTCAGAGAACTTAAAAGATGGAAGGGCAAGGAAATCAACAAGATCAGGATATATAAAAGAGAGAGCTTGTTGACCTCTGTGAGAAAATCAACTAGCAATGTGTTAACAATTATGACATTTGTATCCCTAAGCCAAAACCATCTTGTGTAATCAGTTCCTACAAAGTTATTCCTGTCAAGTTTTAACACTGTATGTATAAACTGATCCTCTGAGTAAATCAGAGATAGACTACAACAGCTCTTCCTTACCCAAAACACTATACTACCAGAAAAAGAAATGAGAAGACAGAAATTGTCTCAAATGAGACTTGCGTGCCTTCTAAAGAGTGTGCACGGGAGTGGGAACAGTTTCAGAAGTGAACAAATAAAACACTTCCTTCATCCCCATATAGGTAAATGTAAAAGTAAAGGTCCAGTTGTGTCTGACTCTAGGGGGTAAGTGCTCTCTGTTTCTTAGCCAAGGGAGCCAAGCATTGTCTGAAGACATTTCCACAGTTATGTGGCCAGCATGACTATACAATGAGGTGCGTGGAACTTTGTTCCTTTCCACCATTTATCTACTCAAATTTGCATGCTTTCAAATTGCTAGGTGGGCAGAAACTGGAGCAAGCAATGGGAGCTCACCCTGTTGCATGGTGTCATGTATCAAACCCAGGACGTCAGCTTTCCAGCTGATAAGCTCAGCATTTTAAACCGCTGAGCCATTCTGCCCCCTCCTCATTATGTGCTATACAGCAAATCTTAATTTTTCATAACTTTACAGCACTGATGAGTAGTCAGCTCAGAAACGGATCCATCCCTCTATAATACACTCAAGGGTTTTTTTTGTTTTAACATAAGAACATACAGGTTTCCCTACTATAATTTCTCTACCATATTTATTCTCTATAATGGAGGGTTGAAAAGATTAATTTCCTTTGCTTTTGAAGAGGGTGTTTTTAAACACAGTTTAAAAGATATCCACAGTTTAAATTTATATCCAGAATACACAAAAATTGCTACCTTGTTTTTTGGGTTAACCAACTTTCAAAGGTAGGCATCCAGTCATGCATATTTGCTTTTAAAGAAAAAAATGAATTCTTCTGGTTGAAAAAAACTGACAGAAAGATATAACATATAGCAGAGAGCAACTTTTTTAAAGTCAAAGTTTCAAATATTCAAACACCCTGGTTTATGATAGGCTTTTCAGTCTATTTTAAGTCTTCAAACTCTACCACTCTAAACAATATTGGCAATGGCATCACCACAATTCTAGTCCAAGCCACAGAGAGAGCAAAAGGGGAAGTTTAGCTGCCAGACACCTTAGTACCTCTTCTACTATGGCGTTTTGTGAAGGATATTTCCAAAGCCAAATGTTATCACTGAAAATAAGGAGATGTGAACTAGGATGATCCAAATGCTCAGGTACATACGATCAAGATACAGGTAATATTTAACACTCCTATGGCCTTTTTTCATTGCTAAAAGAACTTTCTCCAACTACATCACTGACATTTACAAATTCACATTGTTGAACTTATAAATTTGCCCATCCCAGGAAAGAAATCTCCATATCTACGACACTACCCCATTCAGTTTGCTTTTCTCATTCTGTGTTATTGTCCCATCCATTAACATTTTCATTCCCACTTCCCAAAGCAGGAAGAGTGTGAGAACATCTCTTCCTACAAATCTTATTAAAAAGCATTAAGTTGTGAGCTGTAGTTTACTTCATCAGATACACAGTTGAGTAATACAGCTTTCTTCCTATAATTTCCTCCTACATTAGAACAAGTACAATGCATCCCTGTCTTAGGGTTTTCACATTTCAAACTGTTTACCATTTTAAAAGTTAAGCCACTTATTAAAGACTTAGATCCTGCATACAATGTAACTAACTTTTCACTAGACACACAAAGGCTTCTATTATGCTCATTATTAAGATGCCATATAGATGAGCAAGGGGTACTCTTCATCACAGTCAATAAACTAGTTGCTGTTTAATAAATTCAAGCTTCCCACTCATCTTCTGAATATTAGACTAGAACAAATAACTTATATATCTAATGTAAACCAAATATTATGAATTTTCTATTAAAATCCTTGAAAAGTATTTTAAACCATCATTTGAAAAACCTATCTAGCTTCTGGATTTTCTCTAAGTCAGTTAATATAGATGAAGAATCCATTGCATTATTCTATCCTAATACTATTCTTCAATATCATCACATTATCTTATCAAACTAAACTGGAAACACTTATCCAGGAATAGGCAAACTGTATTCTTCTATACATTGGGAAATTTAATCTTCAAACAACCTCAACCAGAATTTCTAATAGTGAGTGATGCTGAGCAGCAATCTTGAGAAAACCAAACATTATCTACCATAAACTATATTCAATAAATGTAAAGGGAATAATGAAAATATGTAATAATGAAAACTAACTGAAAATTTCATAATACTAGAAAAGGAGAATTTGCTGCTCTGAAATAGTATAATAATCACTTCACACTTGAATCTCATTGTAATTTAAATAAAATAACCAATAGTTGTGAATTAATTATATAAGTATCGTTTACCAGCTATTACATAAGTTTCATAATACATAACATAAAATTACATACGCATGTTTAAAAGCCTGCTTATATAAACATTCATTCATAAAATATTTTCTTTTATGCATACTGAGTGCATTTGCACCAAGACCAATTCCTTGTGTGTCCCATCACACTTGGCCAATAAAGAATTCTATTCTTTTCTATAAATTCTAGTATCAGTTCAACCACATTACTTATTAGAATTCTACTATGAATTCAGCCATAACTGTCCTTGTTGAGAAATGTTGATAATTTTCCGCATGAATTGCACAATTAAAGGGCTACATGATCTACATCTATTTCTGAGTGTCCTAAAAGGCAATCTGATAATTTGAGTCTCTTATTAAATAGGATATAAAACGAAGCATCCATTTTTTTTTTGAAAAAAAAAAAAGCATTATTTAAAAGTTGTGCAATGTGCTTCCAGGATGTTTTATAACATCTACTAGAAACTAAATATTATGTTCAGATTTATTTACTGTTCCTCAGACTACCGTAATTTTCACTAGTAACTAAACTGTTCCAAAGAGGCATAATGAAAAATACTAACTGCAAAAATCATTGCCAAACATAAGAAATATTAAAATCTAATCCCTTCCCTTTCTTATCAACAAATTGCAGATAATTCCTTTATAAATGGAAGCCCCATGGAATTAAAAGATATTAAATACATTGCAACCCAATACAGTATCTCTTGGCTTACATTACCTTGTTTGTAGACTTGTAGTAGAAATTAGACCATGATAAACTTTAAAAGAAGGATAGGAAAGGGTTCAAGTTTCTTGTTTGCTTGATTTCGATATTAAGAACCTCAATAATAAACCTTAAAATAACTTTTGAAGAAGCTAATGCATTTTTCATAGGAATAATCAAGTAAAAATGTTTAAAGAATATTTAAGCAATAACTTTTATTACCGTATCTAAACTCCAATGAATATGATATTTGCCTTCCAGTTAAACTATTTTATACTTTAACAAAAGAGGCTTAATGCATACTTAAGTTATTAATATACAATTTAAAGCTTTAAGTAATTGCTAACAACCCACTGTTAATCTAAGTGAACAAAATCTACTGCAGCATGTTTCTACATAAGACTGTTCCTGCAAATGTCTAACACAAAAGCAAGGAACAGAGACTTCAATCTGTATAGATGGATGGCATTTAGATTTTAATCTCTTTAATGCATACAAACATGTAAGAGTATCTCTAAATAGGATTGAACAGATACAGCGCTCAAGGTTAAAACCAATCATACAAGCCAGGAACTAGAGAGGAAGAGTACTAAAGTACTAGTTATAAACGAGTACTACATGTTCCTATTGTGAAAACAGCTGGGGACCAGGGCAAAAGAAACTCGGAGCAAAAGACAGCGCAAGTCAACTTGTTACATCGCCTCAGTCCAAAGCCTATTGTATTGGATTCACAACCAAAAGGGCGAAAGGGGGAGGCGGGGGGGGGGGGCGGCCTGTAACGAATTGTTAACGGCTATTTGCCGCATTAACGAAATGGAACCTTCACAATCAAACTCCACTCGCGCACTTCCAACGGCTCAGCAACGAGCAACGCTATGGAGAACGGGACGGGGGTGGGGTGGTCGTTGCTTTCAAGCCCTCCTTTGACTTTAAAAGACACCTGGAGTTTTTAACCTCTGCTGGACTGAGCGGAGTCCAGGAACACTCGCTTATTTTGATCCCGAACAGAGAAACTTTAATCTAACCCGCGGTCTCCGCCTCAGCCGCAAGCGGCGAGTTTCTCGCCTCAAGCGGGACAACAGCGCCGGCACTGAAACTTTTACTTGGGAACGAGGACAACCGGGATCCGACAGGGAGCAATGAGTAACTTTTCCAAACTACAAGGACCCAAAGATCCTGGGAACCGAGCACAGAGGGACTCCTCCGACCCCATCCCGAGTAAAAAGCGAAGGAATAATCAGCTGGTCACTCACGGTCGATCCGTGACCACTACCATCCTCCCGCCTACATAAAGCGTCTTCAGAACTTCCCTTGGATTCTCCTCCATCCCGCTCCCTGCTGCACTTCTCTTGCCGCCGCGCCAGGCTGGGCTCCGGGATCCCCGTCCGAGCGGCGCATCCAAGATGCTGCTTGGGCGCCCATTGCCTCGGGCGGACGTTAAGCTCCTGCTGCTGACGCGCCACCGCCACCATCGCAACCAACTGCAGCGCCAGCCCAGGGCGCAGCCCTCTATAGGCTCCTCAGGATCAGGGCGGGGCGGAGCCGAAGCCAAGCATCTTTTACCGTTCTCGGCGGGGGCGGGATCTTTGCCGGCCGAGCTCTTTAATCCTCCTCTTCAGGAAAGGACCTCTGGGTTTCCGTGACAGGCGGAGGCTGGGCTCCCACTTGTAGCACGCGAAGATTCTTTTTCGCCCTACGACCAGCGGTGTCAAATTGGCGGGCCGCGGGCCGGACGAATCACGCGCAGGCTACGCCCATCCCGGCTTCGCAAAGGCAAAAAAAATCCGTTGCGATATACGTCACGTGAGGCGATCTAGTTTGACAGAACGCCTCGCGTCAGAAACTTCAGGAATTCTCTAGTAAACCCAAATCGAACAAGATCTTGGTGTAGCTGAATGTCGGTTTCCTTTCCAACTACATAAAAGATGCCCTATGTTGTTTATCGCATATCTCTCGCAGAATCAAGAATAGAATGGAATAGAATAGAATAGAATAGAATTCTTTTATTGGCCAAGTGTGATTGGACACGCAAGGAATTTGTCTTGATTGTAAATGCTCTCAGTATACATACATAAAAGGTACATTCGTCGAGAGTCGAGAATCATAGTACAACACTTAATAATAGTCATAGGGTACAATAAGCAATCAAATCATACTAGGAAACAGTCAATATAAATCGTTAGGATACAAGCAGCAAGGTAACTCATACACAAGTGGGAGGGGATGGGTGATAAGGAATGATGAGAAGATTAATAGTAATAGTGCAGACTTTGTAATTAGTTGGACAGTGTTGAGGGAATTATTTGTTTAGCAGAGTGATGGCACTCAGGAAAAAAAAACTTCTTGTGTCTAGTTGTAAATAGAAGTAAATAAAGTAAGTACATAAAGGAAGTATCTTTAATAAATGCAGCTCTACTACTTTACATTTAAACTATATACAGTATAATACTAGCTGGATACCTGTGCTTTGCTATGGGCTTAGTTTTGGGGAAGGAAAATAAGGGGGGCGGGAAATCTGCTTCTGCCTACCAGCACCAATCGGTATTCATCTGGCTGGCGTTCTGTCAGTGTGTGAGAATTGAGGGCTGTTTGGAAACTGAAACAGTATTTGCTGTGTGACTATTCTGTACTAAAGTAGGTTGCTGCTGTGAAACTAAAACTGAAACTCCTCTGTTTGTTTTGCATTTGGAACAGATTTCTTTTCAGGTGGAGTCGGGGAGTAGAACTCCTTAGCATCAGAGTGTGTTAATAATATCCGAAATACTAATGCTCTGATGGTCATTTCAAAAAATCCTTTCTTAATGAGCACCTAGAAACCAAGAGCCAAATATGAGCCAAACTTCAAGTTTGTAAGCTTTACGGTTCTGGAGATTTTGTGATGATGCCTGAGTGGTATTTCACTTTTACATATATAGATTGGATTGTGCAGATTGTAGCCCATCCTTTTCCTTATGATTCCCAATAATACTTGGCTGTTCCTAACAATGATTCTGCCTGAATTTCAACTGTGGAGTTGTCTTGGTGTCAGTTATGTAGCTAAATTTGTTCATGATACTAAGCCAATGTGTGGCTTCAGATTAACAAATATTCTGGGTACTTCATATGCATTCTTCAGGGTGACTACATGCATAACTGTTTTTGATGTTTTGATAAGTAACTGAAAAATTCACAGTCTGTACAGCCCCTTCTCTACTTTGTGGCTTACTTTAGTTTTAATATGCCTGCTGCTGTATAACACTGTATAGTGCTGGGTGCAACTAATTCCCAATACAGAATTTAATCAACCTTCTACCTCTACCTTCTGGATTAAAATTACTACAGTTCTACCACAACAACAAGATGTACAATCTATGGTGCTTGACAGACTTTTTTTTTAAGATCAGGTGACCTATGGTTGCCAAAAGAAACACACTCTTCCACCTGATCAGCGACCAACATCAATTGCTGCCATTTTTCTTCCAATAATTAATCCTTTATTAGGATGAGATTGGGTAGGATAGCAAAACCATTTCCCGATTGTCCTTTCTGAAATAAAAAATGAGTAGGGATATCGATGTCTAACTCCATTTCAATCTTTGTATCTTTCTGGGCCCGAAAGCTGTATATTAGTTATTAGTAATTAGGATATTTTCTCAGAACCCTGTAACCACAGTATGAACCCTCCCTGGCAACTCTTTCTTAGTCCCTATGAAAGTACCTTTGTTTCATCCTCAACTCACAACTGAGATAGCTTCTTCCATCACCTGTCCTATGTTATCCACCTCTTACAATACTAGACAACATAGTATCAACAGTAGAGACCTTCAAATTTCTAGGTTCTATCATATCACAAGACCTAAAATGGAACCTAACATTAAAAACGTCATCAAAAAAGCACAACAAAGAATGTTCTTTCTGCGCCAACTCAGAAAGCTCAAACTGCCCAAGGAGCTGCTGATTCAGTTCTACAGAGGAATTATTAAGTCTGTCATCTGCACATCTATAACTGTCTGGTTTGGTTCTGCAACCCAACAAAACAGACAGAGACTCCAGAGAGTAATTAGGACTGCAGAGAAAACAATTACTACCAACCTGCCTTCCATCAAGGACCTGTATACTGCACGAGTCAAAAAGAGGGCTGTGAAAATATTTACAGACCTCTCACATCTAGGACATAAACTGTTTCAACTCCTATCCACAAAACGACGCTATAGAGCACTGCACACCAAAACAACTAGACACAAGTTTTCCCCCGAAAGCCATCACTCTGCTAAACAAATAATTCCCTCAACACTGTTCAACTATTACTGCACTACTATTACTTTAATCTTCTCATCACTCCTTATCGCCCATCCCCTCCCACTTGTGACTCTGTAACTTTGTCGCTTGTATTCTTATGATTTATATTGACTGTTTCCTAGTATGATTTGATTGCTTATTGTACCCTATGACTATCATTAAGTGTTGATTCTTGACTCTTTACGAATGTGTATTTTCTTTTATGTACACTGAAAGCATTTGCACCAAGACAAATTCCTTGTGTGTCCAATCACACTTGGCCAATAAAGAATTCTATTCTATTCTATCCTATCCTATTGAGGGACAATCAAGAGCATCCTGTCATATTGCATTACTGTCTGGTTTGGAAGTATTACAGGTAATCCCTGGGTTACGAACATTCCCTTAGCGAATGTTCAAAGTTACATGATAAGCACCCCCAATGTTTATGAACAAGTCCTGAAATTATGAATATTGCAGCACCATGGCAGTTGTTTGCTCTTATGAATGACCATAAAGGCTCTGCAACATTTGCCTCACCTATTCCCCCCACCCTAGCAGGTCACAGTACTCCACAGCACTTCACCTGTGAAGTCCCACTTGCGAAGATCTCCTCTCTGTTGCGGTTTCTTTGCCTGCTTCATTGCTTCAGGCTGTCGGTGCATTCAGAGAACACAGGCCTAATGTACCACAAGATCTTGTGCTACTGATCTCGTGTGATCTCATACTTTAGGCCTCTATTCTCTGCAATTTGAGGCCTGGACGTCTGGAAATGGAGGGAAGGCTTTGGTCCTTCAAGCCTTCTCTCCATTTGCCATTTCTTTGCCAAAGCCTACAGGGAGATTGTGTTCCTGTAGGCTTTGGCAGCCCTTTGCAAAAAGCCTTTGTTGGCACCAGTGGAGCTTGGGAGGGGCAGACACCTCTCTCTGAAGTTCTGTTCCTACCTACCGGCAAAGGGTTTTTGAAAGGGGCTGCAATCCTCAAGCGCTTTGCCAATGAGATAGAGGCCCAGAGGGCCATGTGCGCATTCTGGGCCTGCTTTCTTGCCAGAGATGTGATTGATGAGGTGGTTAGTATTCAGAAAGATGGCCCCTATATTTAAATGAGAACATATTTGGACACACACACATGTTGTGCTTTGCAAAATGTTGTATTTCACTGCATTTCTCTCTCCTCCAGTTTATTAATTTATCTGCATCAATCTAGTCTGTGCTCAAACCAAGAGTAAAAGTAAATCAAATATAGCCCTGAGTAAAACACTTACCTTCTTTTTCTAACCTTCCTTTGGAGCTATATATATTTGATTTTGTTTGGTTACTATGAATAGCATCTGGTTAGTATTCAAAGATTCTTCTTAAAACATTTCTTCAGAATGTCTTCATTTTTTCTTGTTTTTATTTCAAGCCAAAAATTAGGTCTTAAAACAGCATGAGGCCAAGTACAGAACTTGTTAAGCTGTTTCACTGAGGACATCTATTAATTCTTAATTACTATTCAATGTTTGTGTAAAGAAGAAAGACAAGTTACCAACAATTCCTGCAGGTACCTAGTGTATTAGGTGTGTGAAAGGAATAAGTATCTGCCTGTTGTACAATATTTCAGGATTTCTGCTCAGGGCAGTGAATTCTAGGCTTTTAGTTAGCAAGCCTATTGCCTTGAAACCAAGATGTCTGAGTTGGAGGTATTTAGATTGCCACAGAGATAGGCAGACAAGATCTTCTGGGCAATAATATTACATAGTCTACCTGAAAATACAGCTAGCTCTTACATAATCAATGTAAATGAAATTTTCTTTTTTTTCTTTCAAAAGATAAGCACTAGTCTCCCGAAACCATTATAAAATATATCTATTAGTCAGTTTTAGAAGCAATCACAGCAAAGGGAACATTAAATTTAATCCTAAATTTTGGCTGTTATTGAATGAGAGATGTAAATATTGTGAACCAATTACTAAGCAGTAACTATAATGCTATTTCTTTTAGAATATATGCAAATGGGAAATTATCAGGAAGATTCAAACATATTTGAATCCTGCTGATGGAGAAGTAGTAAAGATTACTGAGACCAATTTTTTTCATAATGCATTTAAAAACAGCAATAACTGAAGCTCACCTGAAAATTGTTCCACAACATAGGAATGGCTTGTATGTCCTATCAAAGAGAAGAAGAAAAAAAACCCTCTGGTAGAAAATTTTTTATATACATATATTTTCTA